GGCAGTGTCACGAAAAGCTAGGGTCCTAGGAGTGCGGTCCGAGGAGTGCGGTCCGAGGACTGCGGTCCTGAAACTGCAGTCTCCGGGGCTGCAGCTACATGCTACTCCTTCCATCTCGTGCACAAACTTATCTCGTGCCCTCACTGGTCATGTGCGCGTTCGTGTGTGTTGGAGGAGGGGCTCTGTAAGGAAGTCTGAAGGAAACAAGCCCCCAGGAAGTGCGCCGGACTCTGAGGAAAATATTTGTTGTGTCCAAACGGCGGTACTACAATTTCCGTATCAGTCTGTGGCGTCCCTGGGCCCAGAAAGACTTTTTCCCATTGACTAACATTGGGAAAGAGACATCTGTAAATCAGCGGATAATGTTTTTTAAACTAAATAAACTACCCAGTATGAACTATTTTATAGCCCTTATTATAATCATTAGGTCCTTAACCTGTTCCACTCTGAGCCTGTTTTTCAGGTCTCAGGCTCGAAAATGACATTCCCAGAACAAATGACCATATCTTCCCTTCTAAAAGGGTTAAATTAATAATCTTTTCTCAAAGTAATGATAAACCTGTGAGTTGGATGTAGAAGTGTCAGAATCAATATAAATGTTTTTTATTTTAAAGAAAATTCAGATTTTACATAGTAAAAAACTGTAAATTATAGTGTCCGTCCAAAAATTATTTTTTACAGATAGTGAAAACTACCCTTGGATGATGGGTTAGTAGACTAAAAGCTTTAGGAATCCAAAGTACAACATATAATAAGTACCCTGTATCAAGATTGATGCAAAACAAGTGAAATTTGACCTTTTTAGAGAGATTTAGCCAAAAACTGGGCCATCTGGGGTCATTTGGGTGGATTTGACCTATCCTCTGGCCCCCCTTGCTCGATCTGGTTGGTTGACATACCCTTGTGACCGTTAGAGCCAATAGAATCGAAGGAGGAGACTCACATAGACACACATTGTAAAGAAAAAATGTTGCCGCTTCGCGTGTGGAAAGCGAAACTAAACTGGAGGAATGTCTCCTTCTGGAGTTTGGAAACTAAAACGCAGTTGTATTGCTTATGGATTATCAGAAATAATTTCAAAGAAGGCACAGACACATAGGATGAACCTATGGATTAACTGCAGCATCGTTTTTTTATCGTTTAATGCCATTGAAGACCACTTTTGACCAAGGTAAGCCATATTTACATGTTTAGCTTCTTGGCTCCACATGTGATGATGTACGCTTTCGTTGATAGCGTCGCGAATGTTTATCACTGAGTGTTGAGGTGGGCACCGTTAGATTCAGTGTCTCCAGGACACCAAAAGATAGTGTTTGGTTGTGCATCTAGGATAAGTAATAAGGGAGTTCTGAGTGAGTTTATGTGCCTTTGTAGGTTACGTTTTTTCGTCGAGGCTAATTCAGAGGCTGAGTGCTAGCATTGTGGGGTTTTTTTGAAAAAAAAAATTAAAAAGATCAGTTAGCTGAGTTTCTTCCCGTTACATGGATATAACACATTCATAGTTTTATTCAATATTAAGATTCCTTAGACGTTGTTTCCTGCAAATGACGCGTTTATCCGCCCGGTACCGGGGGGAAGGCGTGAAACAGGTTAAAGTTGTAAAATGCCCTAAAAGCCGAATCTAGATTTATTTTCTCTCTCCATTCATTCTAGTGAGCCGAGAGTGGGAGCTCGGGGGGCGGGGCTTAAGGGGCGCATGCTCTGTGAGCGCACATACGGGTTCTTCTCAAGCCCCCAGGAATTGCGCCAGACTCTGAGGAAAATATTCGTTGTGGCCAAACGGCAGTACTACACTTCCGTATCAGTCGCTAGGCCCGGAAATACTTTTTCCCATTGACTAACATTGGGAAAGAGACGTCTGTAAATTGTTAGATAATTGTTTTTAAACTAAATAAACTACCCAGTATGAACATTTGTATAGCCCTTATTAAAAACATCCGGTCTTGAAGTTGTAAAATGTGCTAATAACGTTATTCTGAGAGTTATTTTCCTCTGCATTATGAACGCGGATCTAACCCACGGGACCGCGCTGCCCGGCACGTTCATGTGATGTGTTCAGTACTACATGAGTTTTACCTTTACCCATGGATGCACAATAAGAATGGATTATATGATTATATGAATACTTTCGTGACGTTTCGCTCTCTCAAAAGTTGGGCCATTTTGTCTTCATGCGCCAATGAGCAACTCTCATAGGAATGAACGAGGCCCCGCCTCCCACGCTGTGTCCAGTTCTTATTATACATCCATGGTCCTTCTGCTCTGACAGCCAGGCCAGGCATGACGGGTAATCTGTGACATTTCGCTCTCTCAAAAGTTGGGCCATTTTGTCCTCATGCGCCAATGAGCAGATCTCATAGGAAAGAACGAGACCCCGCCTCCGACGCTGTATCCAGTTCTCATTATACATCCATGGAAGGAAGGGGCAGATTTTTTTCGGCTGCGTACTTTCAAATTCTAGCGCACTCGAGCTGGTTTCTCCATTCTTACTTACCCTACCTTTAAAGTATCCTACTGTTCGACTTCCTCAATGAAATGTTACAAATAAATGTCATCAACAAGTCAGCTTAGTGGAACATCATGTCTAAACCACATAACATAAACATAAATTCATCTTCATTTGACATTTTGCAGCCTGTGCACAAATCATACATAACCGGTTATCAATGTAACTGCCAAACTCTTTACTGCCTAACTAGACCAACCAGCAAAAAAATCCAAACTATTACACAAAAACAAAGAAAAATAAATCACTATGAGCTAGCACACTGCGGCAGGTGCAAAAAAGGTTTTTTCACATTCATGTAAAGACATATCCAACATGATCATAAAAAGATTTAGAAAAGGCCGACCACACATGAAGGCCCTAAAGTATATTAAACAGACCGCAGCAAACATATTAGTAATTAAAAGGAATTACGTTTTGACCACTGGCAGAGTTGGGAAAAGTACTCAGATCTACCAGAGTGTAGGAATACTCTGTTACAAGTAAAAGTCCTGCACTCAAAATGTTACTCAAGTAAAAGTAGAAAGGTATTGGCATCAAAATATACTTAAAGTGGACCAATCATGCTATATTTAAATGATATATTGTAGGGCCATACCTATATAAGGTATATTTATACGTTTCTGTTTTCAAAATACCAAACAGATCATGCATTTTAGCCATGCCTCATTTCGCTCTATGTGCTGTTTGCTGTCTACGGGTCTGATTCTGCTGACCACGCCCCCCTGCAGGAGAGGGGAGACGTGCTCTGATCAGCTGCTGGGCTGTCAGAAGAGGGGGAGAAAAAGAGATCTCCATCCTCCGTGTTTTATTATATAGAGTCGTTATTCATTTGTTTTAAAGCTCAATAAATAACAAAGAAGACCTTTGACCGGCACTTTTCTAATTTTGTCCGGAAGATTTAAACTTTAACGGACATCTTGACCGGCGAAACAAACTGAAACTGAAACTCTGCCGCACGGTCCCCGCGTTCCTTGGAAGAGGCGGAGAGGTGGGTGTTTGTCATCTGCTGGTGGACTAACCGGAGAGAATTACAGTGCTTGCCTCGACGGGGAGGGATTGCATTGCAGCGGGAGCAAACGCTTGCCTCGGGGAGGGAGAAAAAAAGCCACAGCGGAGAATAAACAGAAGGGTAACCATGGTAACTATGGGCGGGAAGTCTTCTTCGCTGCTTTTGTGACAGACTACAGCGCCACTTACAGGCCTGGCATATGTACTACAGCGTCTCCAGCGCTTTCGAACGGCAATGGCCGTGGCTGTCTCCTCCTGATTGGTGGAGTTGGCCCAATAGCCGTAGCGCCACCGTCCTGACGTCAGGACAGTGTTCAAATCTGGATCAGTTTTTATCAGATCCGTTGCAGCCCCTTTTTTAGAGATTTGGGTATGGAGGAAAATAGAGAGGGTTGTGTTTTCTGACACTTGGTGAGTTCCCTGGAACCCCGGGGACACATATTCATGTATAAAAGACGTACAAAAGTGCATTTTGCATGATAGGTCTCCTTTAAAGTAACAAAAGTAAAAGTACTCATTATGCAGATTGGTCCATTTAAGAATAATATATATTATATGTTTTGATTATAATTATTGATGCATTAAAGTATTATCAAAGCTGGTAAAGGTGCAGCTAGTTTTTATGAATTTGTATACTGCAGGGTAGCTTGTGAATTTACTCAGTTACAGGTGTAACTAAAGTCTGATTTAAAGGGGACCTATCATGCAAAATGCACTTTTGTACGTGTTTTATACATGAATATGTGTCCCCGGTGTTCCAGGGAACTCACCAAGTGTCAGAAAACACAACCCTCTCTATTTTCCTCCATACCCAAATCTCTAAAAAAGGGGCTGCAACGGATCTGATAAAAACTGATCCAGATTTGAACACTGTCCTGACGTCAGGACGGTGGCGCTACGGCTATTGGGCCAACTCCACCAATCAGGAGGAGACAGCCACGGCCATTGCCGTTCGAAAGCACTGGAGACGATGTAGTACATATGCCAGGCCTGTAGATGGTGCTGTTCTCACTGAATCTGCCCTTGCCAAAACAGAGCTAAAAAATGTCAAATTGAGCAAAATGAGGCATGGCTAAAATGCATGATCTGTTTGGTATTTTGGAAAAAAAAAAAGTATAAATATGCCTTATATAGGTATGGTCCTACACTATATTATTCAAATATAGCATGATAGGTCCACTTTAAGGGTTCATTTTATTTCACATCATAAATCCAAATCTGCAAAGTAACTGGAGCAAAAGTACACAATGTACCTCTGAATTGTAGTGGGGTAGAAGTACAAAGTAGAAGAAATGGAAATACTAAAGTAAAGGTCTCAAAATGGTACTTATTTCTTTACTTGAGTAAGTGTACTTAATTACTTTCCACCTCTGCATACAGTTGATGCTGTTTGCACACTGTAACACATACAACGCTAAGTTTCTAGGCAACAAAGCTGTTGTAAACATCCTCTTCTGTACAGTTTGTTGTGTGTTGAACTCACCGTTTAAACTTCATTCTGCGAGCTCTGTGCACCGCGAAGTCCTCTAGTATTCAACCGTTCTGCTCGTTCATTCTCAAAGAATAACATCAGTCCATTTAGACGTTCTGTCCCACGTCCATGCGTCAAAGTCTCAAACATTTTGAAGTAAACGAGGCTCTGCAGTCACTGGGGAAACGGGTTCAAATCCGAAACGGCAGAAAGTCCTCACACACCTAACTGAAGGTAGAAGCACATGTCACCTGAAGCATCATCCACCGTTAGCATTAAGGACTCCAGCTGCACCCAGGATGCACCTGTTGTTTCATTGTGGGTGCGTTTGATTTGGGTCACATTGCGTCCTCTGCGGGGGGTGATATGGCCTTTATGTTCATCTCTCATCATGTTTTTTGCATGTGACTTTGTTCTTATACTCTATAACTTATGGAGAAGTAGTAGTTTACGATTTATTATTGCATGTATGAAAAAATACTTGAGTAAGCCTACAGTAAAATATCCTGGTTTATAAAAAGAAACTAAAATATAGCACACAAAAAAGCAACTTGATTTCAGTAATTCGAGTTGATGTAATCCAATTACCTCCACACCTGCCTGGTCCACCAGCTCACCTCTTTGACAGATGAGCATTCCAGCCTAAGGTTGTGCCTGCAGGCCGCCTGTGTGTCATGACCCCTGCCCTCTTTTTAACTATGATCCATCTCACTTGTTGCCTGAACTGTCTGCAAAACCTTAGGCTATCTGCCTTGTTATCGCCCCCCCTCCAACATAATTAATATCTCAGTAAACACAAAAAACATATGAGGTTTCAAATAGCACTAATCCAGTGTACATTGTACCTAAACCCCAACTCAGAGGAGATATAGGAAACATTTTTCCCTTACATTATTTGTTTTCTATGTTGAGCTGTTCCCCCAGGCTTTGGAACTGTAACCTTTTCATGTTGCACATCAATGCTAAGTGTCTGCCTCTGTGTCTGCCGTGAAACAGGTACCTCTTGCAGAAGATGACAAATGAAAACTGCAACTCAACATTTGGGAATGAGGAACCAGATAAAGGATTGGTTGGACTAAATCCTGACTTCAGAAGCATTTGGGAAATCATGTCCAGACAGGAGGAACAGTGGCAAACAGATTATGTGTAGAATACTGAGTTATAGGAGTGATGGAAAAGGTTTGCATCCAATAGTATCCACACTTCCTGCTGCTAGTTTGAGCACTGCTGGTTGTTATTTTCACACATTGTGTAAGAATGTATTGAACTTATGTTAAATGTTAACTCCTAAGTGGTGTATATTTACATATAATATCTTTTATTTTTGGGCGAACAATAAATGATGGATTCAAATAAATGCTGTCAGATGTGATCTTATAGAGTTTAACAACGACTATGATACATTTGCTATGAGTGTCAAATATATATAGTGATCGCTAGGCAGTGTGACATAGAGATGTTCTTTTTAGTTACTTTATTACACACTTAATATGAATTCACACACTGAATTTGAATTTGTTTTGAATGTGTTAATTAAACTTGACACTGCTTTGTGCTTACACCTATACATACTTTAAACGTTTTGGGCTGCACTGAATCACAAACACATTCCCTGACCTGTAATTCACAGTGACAGATTCACTGTGTGTCTCCAAATACCAACATTCATGGACTATTTCACTTTTGCTGCTTTGGGCACTGGTCTTATCTAGATGGAAAATCTCAGCGTATCTGAGAGAACTCAATAGTGCTTTTTTATCGTTTTATAGTAGAGTTATGTAAGCAGGAAAAAAAACAGGTTCACTTTAAAAATGAGGTTGAATGTCCAAGAGAGGGCTAAGTTATGTCTCTGATGTTAGACCACAAATGCTTCTTTGCTTTTATCTCTGTAATCACATGATATGTCATTTTATGTTAGTTTCATCTTGTCAGATTTCAGCCCCATTTGCTTTTCCTCCTGTTCATTATTTGTATTGTACACAGAGAAAGGGCAAACAAGGATGTTAGACGTTTTTTTGCTATGTCTCTTAACAACATTTTTCATATTTGAGCACTCAGACAGAGTAAACATATCATGCCATTCAACTGTTTATTTTGGACACAGTAGAATCATTTAAGAACAGCTTGCCAAAGGGCATGGGAGTGGCCTTTCATTCTACCTTTATCTGTGTTCCCCTTGTGTCATAATTTCCAAGTGGATAGCCACTTGAAATAGGAATACACCATGTACTTTAAAACAACATAACAAATGTGTCTTGACCTTCAAAAGTAATGGCATGCTACTGTTGAGAGTAGTCTTTTAGCAATACTGAATCAAGTTTAACAAAAGCAAAATGAGAAAAACATTGAAATGCCAAGAGAACTCACATTGCCGTTGGTGCTTCGTGCTGTCAACAAGACAAAAAGTCAACCTTAATAAGATAGAATAAATAAATATATAAAATGACTATCTGCCAAGCAGTGCCTGACAGCCCCCCTCCCGCTACTCAGTTTTTAATCCTTAAAAACAATCGGAAGGAAAATATTTTGGGTGTTTGTGTTTGCTGCTCATGACGTTTAGTCGTTAAAGTTATTGCAATCTTTCTTCACTACTTCATTTTAATTCTGTATTGTTTGAGTCATTACATTTATGTTACTTGGTCAGTTTTCAGTAAACAGATGGTGTCCCACCTGTGCATCTCCAGCAGCTGTCCAGACCCGAGTCTATTCTCCAGGAAAAATATAGCTTTGATGGTAGCTATGTGCATGTGTGTGTCTGCATCATGGCCGATAATGATGATCTGAGAAGTACAACAAATGCCTGTTGGATTGGCACGTAGTATAGGTCGTGTGCTTTCCAGTCCTAGGAGGGCAAAGCATTTTTCAGGACTAATCCCTTATTTGCTTTGACAAAATCTGTTATTCCTCAAAAATATTATTTCAAATGTATCCGTATATATATTTTGTGCATCTTAACAGTCTACATCTCTATTTTCCCCAACATTGTAACATACAAAACCCTGAATTTGACCGGTAAATTATCACATCTGTAATGTGAATTTCCAGAGAATATGTGAAACAGTGTAGCTCATTGCTAATTCTTAAAGCTTATCATTCCCAGTGATTAAAGTGTGCATGTTGGTACTCTGGCAAATCTCAGGTCCAGCAGTGCCATGGCCTCCAGAACTCTTGGACAAACAGAATAATCTCGTAACATGCCAATCCAAACTGACAATCATAACATGATTCACATTCTACAGCTGCCATAATAAGGCCTCATTTGATGCTTTGATAAGTTGATGTTTTCCAACATATTAATTCAAGATCTCAGGGTCACAACATCCTTTTCCTGTCTTGCCTTGTCAAAATTCACGAAATCATTAAGAGTATCCAGACATTTTATAATTGTTCTTAGAAATCTTAACAAAATCAAAATATATCAGAAGAATAACCTGATGGCTAAGTTTGATGCTGTCATCATTCAAATAAAAATGCAAGACTTTACCTGCAAGGATGAAAGTAAAGATGTTGTTGAAATCACTGTCAAAGCCAGAGAGGACAGCATTCTTATGATAAGTGGCTAATGCTGTTATGCTCCGATGACGCTCTTTTTTTTTCCACCCTCCTCCACCAGGAGATAGTTGCCTTTTTGTAATGGTATTAATTAAGCACTGGCAAGTGTGATAAATGCACCCATTTCAATACTGTTAAAAAAGGAGTGAATGTGACTAATTTCCCCTGTCTGATTAAAGTGCTCTTTGATGCACACTTACCAGCTGTAAATCAACACTTTGAATGCAGAGAGGGTGAGAGGCAAATTATGCTCCTGCTGGTTTAACCTGAAACATTAGTTTGACATTGAAGCAAAGTGGTTTAAATTCACAGCAAAAATGAGCTTGCTTATGCCATGTTGGAAAGCCCACAGAATCTTCCCTAAAAACAGATCCTGGTCAATTGTCTTCCTGACCACTTTTAACAAATCAATCGAGAAGCAGTGTGAGAAACCTGTAGCAATTTGACCTTCTTTGTTTTAAGCATTAGAAGTAGAACAGTCATGTATGAAGTGATGTCAAAACAAGACATGGCTGAATCCCAGCGCTCTGCTGAAGACCGATAAGATGAATGGAGTCAATGTCTCGGGCAGATTAGCATATTGAGAGTCTCAGGGGGAAAGCAAGAAAGAATGTGTTTAAGTACGTGTGTGATGTGTGGAAAAAATCTGGGTTAACAACATCAGAAATGGGAACTGAAAAAAATGCGTAGGCAAGAAAAGCCCCCCCCTTCTCCTTACGTCAGCCGGCAACATCTTTTCAAATATTTAAAAACACACATACAGTAACAGCAAAATCCTTAAAATATGTTTTACTTATGACATTTTGCTGACAGCTGTTTAGACAAACAATCTAAGGATAAACATATAGGCAGGCAGGCTGAAAATATTCTTTGTTTCTGTAATATGAAAGTACATTATCACAGGAAATACATGGCGTTTTCATAGAGGTCAAAGTGCAGCCAAAGAGCAGGTAGTGTATGTACAGTGTGCAATCCCCCAATTTTAGAGGACCAAAATGTACAGAACAACGCAATGTAAACCTGTCTTGAATGTAAAACATTGTGATCAATGTCAACGTGCAGTCATAGACATAAGCATAAGTCTAAAAGACTTGTACTGAAGCCAACTCATGCTTGTTTTGGAGGTTTTTCTGCCTTTATTCTGGTATTTAGCCTCTGAAGCACACACTCATCATTCCACTGTTTGTCCAAAAAACAAATTGGTTGCTTTAGTTTTATGTTTAGGATCATTTACCTGGTGCACTGTCCTTAAAGTAGGGTACTATAAATAGAAGGGGCTACACAAAATAAACACAGTATGGATTTCAACACCCTCAAACACCCCTAAATCGGAGAGTGATCATTTAAAGAGGCATAATTTACAATAAGTCAGGAGCAAAAGGATTCGTTGGAATATGAAATGCTCTTAAAACAACATTTTTATTTCAACATTGTACCAAACATGTAAACTGCATTTAATCCTATACATCATTACTTGAAACATCCTCATTTTGACAGGCTCATGCCCTGACCAACAAAAAGCTCTCCTCTAATGACCTGAAGTTAGCTCTGCGTGACGGTAGATTTAGCCATCTCATACAGGGGAGCAGGTGGGCTGGATGAGGCTGTTTTTCTGAATCCAATAAAGAGGATGTGCTCTGACAGCTGAGCAGACTCACGTGACTACTCACATGGAAAGAGCACTGACTGAATATCAGAACCTAGTTTGCTAACATAAACTGTCAAAGGATAACCAAACTGGAGAGCAGAGGATAGCTGTATCACATTCAATCTGCCATTCAATAAAAAGCATGAATTAAAAAAATTCCCACATTAGCCCAGGCTAAATCTATAGATTTTAGCTGCATTCATTTTTTTAATCCAATGCTTTTTGAACTGCTCGGAAACACACATCATCCAACATGCCCGATATGACTACAAACGTTTAGCCTTATTTGAAGCTGTAAAAATAAAAAGAAGACAGGGGCAACAAAAGGGTGATGCAATATTCAGCTTTTGTGAGATACTGTCAGGTGTAATCATGGAACTTAATTGTGTTCTTTGGTGCCTGGCTTTTTTTGCAATGAAATGCACACCAGTAAAGTTTGACTTGAAAAAAACATATCTCTCCACTAATTAGCTTATTCCTGCAACAACTGATTTTACATGTTGAATAGTTTGGAGATGAATTTACAAGAAACTGCAATGTGTATGCTTAGATTTAGAATCGTCTAATCCTTCAAAACTAAAGAATTGTACATAATGTGTGCACAACAAGAGGGAACAATCAGCAAAAGGTTAACTGTGAAATCTGGATTTGGATTCACCTCTTAGATAAGTCAACATGGCGATATAAGATATTTGACTTGCATCACAGCAGCTCCATGTGTAACATCAACATAGACAGATATCAAGACACAATACATGAAAAACAAACAACAAACATTTAACATAACAGCACAATCATCACTGAGTTCCAACACATAATAAAAGATGGAGTTGTATATCACAGCACACTGGGCTGATGTTTTCCCATGCAGGGATTGGTTGTCCGCTCTCTGACCCTGCCTCTTGACCTGTCCTCTCCTGCAGGCTCCCTGGTGGTTTGTACAGGCCTGTCCTGCTTATGAGCTGTTCACACAAGCCCTGAGGATGTCAGCTGCAGTGTCACTGGGAAACTTCACAGCTTTGCAAGAAGGAACTCTCATTTGTTTTACTCCGGTGGTAAGAGCTGGGTTGTTGGTGCCTGCCTGGTGGCTGTTTAGATTATCTGTCAGATGCTGCTTTGTCTTATCTTTGCATGATGGATGAGAGGTTGTTTCGGGCAGTTTTCCGAGAGGGCATTATATGACTATGGTAAACATAAACATGTATCCACTGTTAATGAAAATAGTCCACCTAAGAACATGAAAAGTGTCAATAGGTGTGTCATGTAACATACGTGGGTAGCTTTTAGGTGACGCTCTTTTGTGGAGACTTTGAACGCAACAATAAATATGTGACTTGTGGGTGGAGCTGTAGGTTCAGACCTGCTGTACCAGCTCTGACTCTGTGATCGGGGAGTTGTTGCAAAGGATGCCACCAGTCAGAGGAAAACCATCACAAGTAAGAAATGCGTAGAAATACAGCAAGATTTATCAGATATTTTCGTTCTTATTTTAATTGTATCTTGTGGTGGAACATTACGGGACATAATTCACTGTGTTATAGAGAGTGTGTTGCGCCACGGACCTGTTAAGTAGCGCACCTGTAGTTTGTTATCATTCTAGCTTGAGTAGCATGTAATGAAGTTGTTCCTACCTTTCTGTGTAAATTAATGGAAAATAAAGTGTGGAGTTCCATACTCAACACCCCGCCTCAGACTCCCATTCATCGGCTCTACAATCTAAATAATATGCCTTGTGTTTCTTTCAGAATCAAAACCTTTCAGATGTTTTATTTATCGAGTGGACAAACAACAGCTTCGTAACCATGCATGCAATAGCATGTGATTATGTTGACTTTTCTTTGATGATTTCATTTTTCAAATATAATTCGCTCTACCCGGAGGACGACCGTTTGACTGGAAAGAGAGACTGAAAACCCTAAGGTGAAATGCTCTTTTAAAGACAACTTACTATAACGTTCTCTTTATGGCGTTTCAAGATGACAGAGCCTAACTTGAGGAACGAAAGCAACTGTGGGATCTATTTTGCTGAAACTTTCAATGGATCTCTTGTGGACCAAAACGACAGCATCACGCCATGTGCGAACTTCACAATGGACTCAAAGGTAGTCGGGGTTGGCGTCTTTCTCGCCGTCTTTATTTCGGTGGCAATTGTTGGCAACATTTTGGTTATCCTGTCTGTTGTTTGCAATAAACATTTGCAGACTGTCACAAACTTCTTCATTGTCAATTTAGCCATCGCGGACCTGCTTCTGAGCATTATTGTGCTGCCTTTCTCTGCATCTCTGGAGGTTCTGGGATGTTGGGTTTTTGGCCGTGTTTTCTGTAACATCTGGGCAGCGGTGGATGTGCTCTGCTGCACCGCATCCATCCTCAGCCTCTGCGTAATCTCCATCGACCGGTACATAGGTGTTAAACACTGCCTGAAATACCCAACTATAATGACAGAGAAGAAGGCAGTGGCTATTTTAGTGTTAGTTTGGGTATCATCCACTGTTATCTCTGTTGGACCGCTCCTCGGATGGAAGGAACCGCCGCCTGTGGACGAGAGAATCTGCAAAATCACAGAGGAGCCGGGCTACGCGCTCTTCTCCTCTCTCTTCTCCTTCTACCTCCCGCTTATGGTCATTCTCATCATGTATTTTCGGGTCTACGTGGTGGCCCGCAGGACTACTAAGAGTCTAGAAGCGGGCGTCAAACGAGAGAGAAATAAATCGATCGAAGTGGTCCTCCGGATACACTGTCGCAGCGTGCTGGAGGACGCGCGCCCGAGCAGCTCAAAAAATCACCCGTTCCGGAGTTCGCTCTCAGTGCGACTGATGAAGTTCTCCAGGGAGAAGAAGGCTGCTAAAACCCTCGCTATAGTGGTGGGGATGTTCATCCTATGTTGGATGCCCTTTTTCTTCTTCCTGTCGATGGGTATGTTTATAACTTTATAATCTATTTCTATTTCCAGTGGTCCACGATTAAATCTGCCCTATGTGCGTCTTTTTCACCTATAGATGTTATAACTTTATGCTCAATGTTAAATGTAGGCTACTATTCTAAAGGACAGCAAAGCCCTGGTGATACGCACTCGAATTTATGATCCCACCTGCTGATATTGTGGGAAATTGTCTGCAGTTATATTTTGTTCTAGCTAATCTAAGAAATCATTGCATTTGCGTAATTTGAAGTGATTTAACTTGTTCAGCCTGCAGCTCCTCGTGAGCACTATGGCTGCGGGTGTTTAATCAATGAACTAAAGAAAACATACATAAACAATAATATTTGAACACAAGAGCAAACTATACATCTAATTTAATTTAATTGCTGTTTATTTTAAGAAATAGGCCAGGAATTGATCCACAAGATTACAATTGTTATGAAAACACATATTTTGGTCAGAAAAGGTCAAATCTGCAACATGATCACGATGTGGATTGTTTTCCTGTCTGAGAGCCTATTTTCATTCAGATGGCCTATATCAAATGTTTGAAAGAGCAGTCATAATAGACTGACATTCTTCAGTAATGAGCACTCTAAAACTGAATTCTGCCAGAATTGCAGCCATCACATGTAGCATATTCAGTGAGCTACCTATTTTAGTAATACTCTCACATAGTAACACAACGATAGAAAGCGATAGTGATGTTAAGAGATTTTAAACTGACCAAAGTATTGACAGGATGAGATATGGAAACAAGCATGAGACATACTCATTGAAGGGTTAAAATGCTTTGCAGTGGGAATGACCAATGCAAGTCACATAACTCGAGTATGCATCATGCGTACATGTGGCACTTACAGAAAGTAATAGTATTGACAACCACACTTGCGGCTGCCCCTAGAATTTTTATTAAGAATATATTTCACATAATTGATTGTAAAAGCTGAGCAAATGGCCAGTATCTTATCAATAGCACTTACAGCACTCTCTTTCTTGCTCCACCTCCAGATTTATTGAAATGAAATATTAAAGCAAAGCCTGCAGGGAGAGAGAAGGTGCCATAAATGAAGTAGGAGCTGTTAATCACTTTATTGAGTTAATAGGAGTGAAAGGCCAAGTTTATTTGTATCCATTATATGGATACTTCAACTCATCATATGATTGAAAATGTGTCAAGAGAGAAGTTAGTTTTAATGAAAGTGTATTGTGTTGTACGAATACATCAATACAATGGGACATTAAACACATTATATCGCCATTACACATTTTTACAGTAAGATTAGGCAAAATACATATTGAGACCATTCTGAAACATGTTGATTTGGATTATGTTTGTATTGTAGCTAATGTATGAACAGAGAATCAGTGTCCTTAAGAAAGAACGTTCATAATACAATTACATTAACTTTGCTTTTTTGATCATAATAAACAGCCTGGATTTAGAATTCGTCCCCCAGGATCTCACGTCTGAAAGAGTCCATGATTGAGTGTGGCACTCCTTGGAATCAGTATTCAAAAGAGAAAACAAAAGGGTGAAAATAAATGATTATCATTAGAGGAATAGTTATGGTCAGACCACCAAGTACCCCTAAATTATCCAAACGTAATCATAGCTGTTGCTGTATCATAATGGATGTAAAAGCCTAATAAATGTAAGAATTCTTGGTAATTTAAAGTCTTTGCTTGAAACCATCTGTCCTACACACAATCCTCTCTGACAAGATGTTGTGCAATTGTCACGAACTTGGATACAAAAGGTACAAGACTCAAATGCACGACCCGGGAGACAAAGGTAAAGTATGCAAAAAGTACTTTATTCCAAAAATAGGATGTACAAATAAGGATCGACATTCTTGACGAGGTGAAAAAGGTTTCAAAAAAGGCACAAAAGAAAATCGCTCACAAAGTGAGGAACAAAACTTACAAAATACTTCAGGAGCATAAATTAGGCTTGAGTCAAAATAACCAGTAGTCAGCTGGTACGCTGACTACTGGCATGGAGACAGGACAAGACGAACTGACACAAGACAAGGGGAGACTGGGGAATATAAACAAGAGGTAACTAGGCACAGGTGGAAACAACCAGGGGCGGGGCTGGTGCTGATGAGAGCGGGAGACACACACAAGGATAGGGAGTCAAGGAACCTGGAATGAAACAGGTGAGTGTCAAAATAAAACAGGAAGTGGGAGACAAGACAAAAAAGTACTAAACAAAACCATGAAACATGACTAGACTCAACATTTTTGACGGGACACAACAGCAATATGACTCAGAATTCGGAAGAAGCTGTTTAAAACACAAAGTCCCCATAGGGATGGGTTGATCCCTATGAGGGCAGGCTGTTTGTTTCCTAAAGGACTGATTGACAGCGTGGAATAGACACAACCTATTATTTCTAGCCCCGCTTACTTGGTGATTCAGACAGATTGATGCTGGTACGCTGCTGTGGCACATCATTAATGAGTAACCTTTAGCTGGGAGGCAGACCTGCACTCTTAGCACCTCTTGGGCCAATCAGGCCTTTTCTCTGCGATGATGCAAACCTAGACTGAGTAGTCTGACTCATCTGAAGCTGCAGAGAGTGCCCTAACAAGATTTGTTTTATTAGTGTACCAGACCCATGAATACCAGAAACTGATGGTAAAAAGAGAAATAGCCTTTGAGAATCACTTCTCACTCAATGATTAGAGTCCATTTTTTTGTATGCATCATTCAAAAGTGTTGAAATGGGCTGATTTTCCTTTATTTGTAGCTGAAATAAGCCCAATCAGTATATAAGACACACAGTCATACTTTTTTCAAGCCTCCAATTATTAAGATTTATAGTTGACTTTCTTTTGAAAAAGGTATTGTGCATCCTACACTTACTGTGTAATAGTAATGCACTAGGTTGGATGAAAATGACTGTTTGCAATAAATGTATGCATAGAGAATTTGTTTCAATACAAAACATATGTATTGATATTGGGGACAATTCTAAAGTCACTACAGGATTACTAAGATAAATTGAAACCATTACCTTAAGACTTATGTTGTCTTCAAGCCATAACACTTAAGAATTAAAGTAAATTGCATGCTTTTTACTTTAACAATATTCTACCTACTGTAATATTTTCAGTTTCTGGTAACATAAGTAGCACGCTGGCTATTATTGTCATTCCAATGTATCATTTGATCAACATGGGCATGGCTTACTATAAATCTATACCAGTGATCATGCGAAGTTTAGCTCAACTAAAGCTTGCTCTTTTGTGGCGCTATGTCGAGGGCAAGTTTCAAAGAGCCATCAAAGGTTGACACAGAACATTTCATGTCAATAGGATAAAACTGTAGGTTCTGTAACTCGGAACGGACAGATCAGGAATTCCTCTAATCACACAAAGACTTTTTTTTTTTTATTGGACAGGTCCCCACACTCCTTTATCAGCTTTAATGTGTATTCAAAGCATTTAATGATGTAACATGTATAAGAATGAACTTTTAACAAAAATCCCATCCACAAAAATATCAAAATTATAAATCATCTTGCAAACATCGGATATAAAAGTTGTTGTGGTGTCGGAGTTGTATTTCAGAGTGGTAAATCAATGGCTGACTGCCTTAACCCTCCTGTTATCCATGGGGTCAATATGACCACATTCAATGTTTTACGTATCTAAAAAAATGGTTCACATTATTTTTTTTGCTTAGTATTTCATGACTTTTCCTAATTTAGTGCGGACTAATGGATAAACATAAAATTAACATGAAGATCTTTTTTATATGTCCTCTACGCACTTTGTACGCATCGGTGTTCCTTGGGGTCAATTTGACCCCAGGCTGTTTAGTATAAAACATATAGAAATGTCAACATTTTACACATATTTGTGTTGATTGTGTGGGATGATATTGAGGTGACTATTACATGCAAATGTATCTTTGTAAAAAAAACCTACCCTCTGCTTTAGTTATTGGTCCTTTAACAACATCAAAAAGATCTTACTTTAACATTTTATTTCAGTCAGTGAGATTTTATGGTGATTTATATATTTTTCGATAGTCACATAATAGGAATTCCGGATGTATAAAGGGGTCTGTGGGGGGGAAGGTTTGGGTAATGTTTTATTTAAATGGTTATTTAGGTAGTCAACTAAGACACCTAAAGCACCAGAGACATACATTTTGGTTAAAATTTGGAATATGATCATTGTCTTGAGTTTTAAACTACTGAGGATAAAGGGTGTAAAGTAAATCTGAGGATAACAGGAGGGTTAAGGTGAGATCATTTCAGTGGGAAGAATCAATGGAGAGCGTCACTTTATTTAACCACTGTATTTATCTTATTGTTGGGTTGAGCCTTGTTTACAGATGAGGTCTCACAGGAATAGAAGTAAAGTGGCAGGCAGCCGATGCTACACACATAATACTGTTCATGCTGCAGATAATGTTACTAGTAAAAGTGAGAACTCAGAGTTATTATACCGTTTTTCTGTCTGAGTTAATGGCACAATCAAGTACACAGTATGCTGTGCGTAGCTGATGTCAAAGCAGCATGAAACCATTACTTGGAAAATCACATACAAGCCATTTTCGTTTATTTCCACATTATCCTACCAACAGAACTGAAATGAAAATGGACTACTTGGCACAGGCAGTGCAGACCAATGAGACGTGTTGCGTCAGTGTCCAGGGTCAACAATTGTGTTAAATCCAAGCCATGGGAGTCTGCAAACCAATAGGAAAAGGCAGCATTAATATCATACATAAATTGCCATAGCAAGTATTATTAATTGAACCAAACAACTAGGGCAGAAAACATGACCTTTTAACCCCACACTATTATTTTATAATTATTATAATATTCTTTATTGTAAAGATATATGAAATCTTGTTAACAGCCAAAAGTTATCATATTGTCTTTAGTCAACTAGTCCCTGAAAAAGACTAAGCTCTTAAATTGTAATGCTCCATCATCTCAGAGAAAGCTGATCAGGAATATTTAAAGTTGTCTAAGGCTGGATTCTCCATCATTCTGACACTGATGACACACACATGGTTTGAATAAACCTCTGCACAAGTCAGGGCAGCATACATGCATTACATATTAAATCAGGTACTACTACTCTGCATTTGTGCTGTCTCATTTTAACACCTATCAAGACAAGGTGTATATTCTACCTTATGCCCTCAGAAAAAGCATACACCTCAGGAAATTATATAAATTCCCTTCATGTTGTCAGCTGTCAACTTAATGATGGTCAAATGTACATACATTACAATCATTCAAAAATATAATGTACTTAGCACTTTACAAATCCATCTTATTATCACATGAGCTTCATAAATAGTTTTTTGCATTAGGGCTTGTGGTGGAAGCATGCACTGTTAATATATTTCCCCATTAATCAAAGTCTACACAATGTCAACTCTCGTTATTGCTGCACAATAAATCATCCTAGAAAAGTGCTGTGAACACCCAAGTGTCAGAAGGATGACAAATGTATAAATGTAGCATAAGAATAATACAGCTGTAAATACACATTGTTTAATTTTACAATGCTTTTGTATATTGTTTGTTACAAACCTTACCCCATTTTAAAATGGATTATATGTTTATTTTTAAATAATGTAAACTTATAAGTCCAAATTGAAAAAATGCCATACAGCATTACAAAAATCATGATTGATGATGATCTATTTACATTTTTCTTTAACTGTTCTTGGTGTATAGTTTAAGATACTTTGTGAAAATGCAGCAGTAGACAGTACTTGCAGTTTGCATTTACTCACAAATATTTCTTATGGTTTCTTCTTGTATAGGTGCCTTTTTCTCAGCACTGAAGCCATCGGAAACGCTTTTCAAGGTGATCTTCTGGCTGGGCTACTTCAACAGCTGCATCAACCCCATGATCTACCCTTGCTCCAGCAAAGAGTTCCAGCGGGCGTTCACTCGGATCCTCAGGTGCCAGTGTCACCAAAGAAAGAGGGTCCTGCGTCGCTTCTATGACCAGAGGTGGCGGACGGCTGTCAAGGGAATGACGAGAGATCAGAGGGGAGAGCGTAAGATTGGCTTCCCTGTGAACGAATCCTGTGGCAGCTCTTTGTTACACAAGGGGAAAGGGCGCTCGCCAGCTTTCAAAAGATGGAGTCTGTTTCCACCACTGCAAAAATCCTCCTTCCAGCTCAAAGAGAAAGTGAACAACCTGTCAAATAAAATCAAGGGAGGACCGGGAAAAGGAAGCTCACCTGCAGTGGGTCGGATTGACATAGTGGACACCGTCTCTATGGGGATTTACAACTCCTGTGAGCAGAGCAGTTATCAGTTATATGATCTTGCAGACTGCTACGGCCTGAAAGAGACTGACATTTAGAGGGCCACCAGAGAATATTTGAATAACTTAAAAGGCCATCAACGTGTATGAAAGACTGTGATGGGTCTTACTTTTTGTGTTTACAAAACATTTGAGAATCAAAGTTGTGGACTGAGAATGATGGCTTAAACCCAGCACAAATAGGACTCAAACTTTATCTCAATCCTTATTGTTAAATCAGATGAAACGATTGTTGTAAACTTCTAAAAGCCACCTTTATAAGAGACAAGGAGTAGCCAACCTTTTGGACTAACTTTGACTGCTGTCACTTGTAAACTCTGTTCATCGACATTGTACAGCCCACAGGTTAACTCACTTTTGACAAGATATTTAACATTAGCCTCATTATTACTGCTTATTCCTTCAACGTTCAAATGTTTATATCAGTCTCCATGTCTTCAACTATAAAAGATTTGATTTGACACTATTTGATGACTGCTTTGTTTGATATTCTGCTGATTCTAAATACATAAAAAAACACAATTGTAAAGGATAAAATAAGATATTTTTAAACGAAACGGAATTAAATAAGAGCAGTGCAATTGTTATGTTGTCAGGATGTCTGGATTTAATCAAATGTAATATATCAGAATTTATTGTGATATTTGATCTGCGATTTTTCTTTTTGACAAGGCATTGTGAATGATAAAAGTCCATCAAACAATGAAAATGCTGCACAGTATTTATTCCAAGTGGTTGATTTATAAGTTGACTTGGCATTAATATGTACCCTTGTGTGAATATAAACCCATGTATCTCCTTGTCCCTTCTGTCATATGCATCAACAAGTGAATGTGAAATGAACATGCTTTTTTTGTATTTTCTTTATGTAATGTTTGTAAATAAAAAAAGAGAGGACACAGACTTTGTCTGTCTGTTAAATTACTGTAAGGAATCCTTGATTCATGGTAAAAAAATAATAATAATAACCCCATCCAGCAGAGGTCACCATTGCGTTGAATGTTTTACCTCCTAATTCCTTTCCCCTTAATGTCTTACGTTTTTGGCAGGTAGAAATTGTGTAGTATTAGACAATAAACAAATCAAGTGGATTACAGAAATCAATATCTGCATGTGTTAACAAAGACAAACAGGTAAATGACCATCTGATGTCTGAAAAAAAATGCAAATTGTATAATTCAAAGGGAGTAACAGACTAACATGAGGCTGTAGCTGCAAGCAACATAGAGAAACACATTGAAAAAAGCTAGAGACTCTATCAACACTATTTAACCTTAATTCACCATCTATTACTAGCTTCATTCCACAATGACATTAATACTTAATGTTTTTCACACAGGGGAAAGTCAAACAAGTAGTTTTCATTTGTAATCATGACCAAAAACATGACAATTAAAATAAAGAGATGAAAAAAATAAACAGAATACAATTAATTTCAAAAGACAACCCATAAAGGATTAAAACATACTATACCTCTGACAGTAAAAAATACCATATATTGAAGTATATGGGATGAACTATCAAACTCCGGCCATTATTGGTAGGAATAAAAAGGTATGGTATACACACAAAACCAATGATCAACAACAAATACAAATAAATCAATAATAGCTTGTTGTCATGGTTCCACAGCTCTATGTTTTGGTCTTTAACACATGCCCTCCAAAACATTATTACATATATTCTCACTCATTCTTCTGTAAAGAAAACAAACTTTTAACATCATAACTCAAAGTTGTTTTTTAAATGGAGTGATACAATTCAGTGGTTCTTACTGCAATGTGCTGTTATAAAGGTACATTTTAACAAAGAAAGAGTGCCCTCCTGAGAGACTCGCTTGATTGCTTATTTTGTACAGACAGCACCGGTGCTAGTTAAACAATAATGGACTGTAACAATGGATTGGAGCTGCTAAAGAGAATGACATTTACTTTTATACTTTCAAATCAGAACCTAATTTCACATTCCTATTTTCACATAAGGACTCTATTTTGCCAGCATGTTCACAACATGAATCCTGCTTTATGATTAGACCACTGTGTATAATAGCTTTGCTTCAATGCATTCATTATTTTCTTCGGCCCCTCATACCTACCCAATCTACAATTAAATAGCAAAAGTTGTCAATGTCACTCTACATATAATTAAGTTAAATATGAAATAAATAGAATCAGAGTCAATCTGATTAAACTGAGCTTAATCTGGCAAATCAAAGTGGCCAAGTATCAATGTTAACATGTTCAAGTTATTTGTTAGTTTATAAGCGCAGCAGTTGTTTTCAAACTGCAAGAGTCGATTTAAACACCAAATCACACAAATCAGAAAAAGGCTGCAGCACTGCTCATTTTTCAAGCATATTACATCTCAACCAATATCAGCATCTGGCCAACTGCTATCAAAATATCAGATTTTAAATGAGTCACTGGGGTTTTGACCAGAAGTACAAATTGCTTGAAACATCTATTGAGGTGCAATTTACAGTACTCTTTCTAATTGGTTTTGATTTACTCCTGTATAAAATAACCACCAGCCATCTTGGTGGACTGACTCTATGTATATTTTATTGAGAATAAGTAGTGTCTAGCCTTTGATTTTAATGAAGTAAGCAGTCATGTTCATTCACGTAATATCATTTTTGCAAGCCTAAAGCTGTAGCCTGTTCAACAAGCTCACCCAGAACTGCTCCTCTTTTACTTGCAAATAAACCTAGATGGAAGTCTGATTGTGGTTATAGTGAAACTAAGAGCCCTGCCAGTAAGATTACAGGTTGTCAGCGTAAATATGACTTACAATAAATGTGAGTTTTGCCTTTCATTTATTTTTTTCACACTCACCTTCACATGTATCTCCAGGTCTTGCAGTTGTCTGAAGACCTGCAAATTATAGTATTCTTTTTTTTAGTAATGGCACAGAGGCATTCAAATACCAATAAATAGTACCATCTTTACATTAACATCTGTGACACAGCCCGGTAAGGTCACCATACACAACATATTAACAGGTTAACTTTGGTTTGTAAGTCAAAATCCTAAAGAGTAGCAGCATTATAAGTAAGACCAATCCAGACCCAAACGCAGAATGAACAGGAGGCAAGTATAAAGTATAAACAAAAAGCTAACTTTTAATCAAATGAAGATGATAACAAAACGGGACCAGAACAAGCATGGCAGAACCAAACAAAAAGTAAAGAAAAACTAAACTAGTAGAGACCTGAGGGCATGTGAAAAAAGAACGGTAATACGGGCTTGACCTCGGGGAAACAGGTAGGAACATAGGTGACAAACTGACAAAGAACACACAAGACTAATCATAAAGACCATACACAGCTGTTGAGGGAAGGCAAAAAACAAAGGCACCAGGTGAACAAAATCAGGTAATCAAAAAGGAGGGAAAACAGAGACAGGAAGGAACAACTGAAGTTACCTACTGTAACTCAAGCTTCTATGAGTATAGGCGTAGCCCTCTAAGGCTATCGCTATTGGGTAATCCCCTGCGCACCCGCACAGCACTGAAACACTTGTAGTCCACGCCCACCCGCGAGGTGGGCCCCACCCTCGGGCTCACTTCCGGTATAAATAGGAAGGAGGCCCGACAATCTGCTCCCACACAAACAACTTTTCTTCAGCTATTCGTGGAGCCAGTGGGGCCCAGAACTTAGAGGGCTACGCCTATACTCATAGAAGCTGGAGTTACAGTAGGTAACTTCAGTTCTATTTCATATATGGCTTCGCCCTCTAAGGCTATCGCTATTGGGTTAAGGGCGAAGCAAGATGTAGTCTGCGCCCCACTGGGTCCGTCCGGTACTAGAAGCACAGACACACCTGCTCAGATAATAACCCATGCCTATTGCGCCATGCGAATGGCGCATCACAGTCCCTGGAATTTAGCATAACATGAATATTCTCCATGAGGGGACGAAGGCTGGGAACAATACATACCTGCCGCTGTGAGAAAGTAGAGACGAAGGTCACACTTTGCCCAGCGACAAAAAGAGGGGGAACAAGGTCAGCTCTCTGCGTGTAGACAGGCAGGAGAGCGCACAGCTGGATCCCTGATGTCACTCACTCTGACAAGACACTCCGTACAAAATGTGTCAGAGAGGAATGGGAGACATCCCTCAAATACAATTGAATAAATGAACAGGGGGAAGACCAAGAGGCAGCAATGCAAATGTCTTCCACTGACATTCCTCCGTGCAAAGCCGTGGAGGAGGAAATTCCTCTGGTGGAGTGCGCACTGATGTTCTCCGGGGGATCCACCCCAGAGGAGACATATGCCTGTGACACAGCCTCACACAGCCAGTGTGACAGCCGTTGTGCAGACAGAGGCCGTTTCTCAATCGCGAGGATGCTGGCTTGGTAGCACAGCCGAGCCGAGCATCTTGCTTCAGAAGCGAGGCAAGAATACTTCCTGGCATTCGGAAAACAAAGAGTGCAACAGGCTAGCAAGTGTGCAGGTGTGCGTCATATGAGAGGCCTCGCCTTACATCTTCCGCCACAGATTTGGGGAAATTGGTCCATGCGCAAAGAATTGTGGGGATTTTAAGGACGCGAAGTCTACCCATGTGCAGCCTCGAAATTTCCCCCAAACCAAGGATGCGGCCTCGGTGGAATTCCAAGTATGCTGGAGATTGGAACAGTCCTTCGGCGGCACTCGATGACGTAGCATCCTTGAAATATTGGCTTGGAAGCCAATATCCTCGCGATTGAGAAACGGCCAGAGGCTGCCCGGATGAGCGCTCTCTGTAATGCGCAACCAGGCGCTGGGAACGGCGCAAGGCAGCCGGGACAGAGGAGATGAGATGTGGCTTCCTCCTCCGACCTGTGAGGGGGAGGAAAGAAGCCATCCAAGGTGATCACTCTTGACCTAAAAGAGCTCGTGATGACCTTTGGCATAAAAGCCGGGTTAGGGCGTAAAACAGCTGAACTGTCATCTCCTTGGATCCGGAGACATGACGGAGACACAGAGAGAGCAGACAAATCACTCACCCTTTTTGCTGATGTTAGAGCCAAAAGTAATAGCCTACTACTTTGGCTGATAACAGTTTAAGGGGAACCTGATCTAAAGGTTCAAATGGGGCTTTGCTTAATGCGCGTAACACTGAAGCCAAATCCCACTGACCCCATTTGACAGCGTACGCTGTAGGCATGGAAACCAGGACGCTCCCGTGCGCTCCGTGGCTATCAGGACCGCTGATAGCCGCTTCTCCCGCACTCGGTCCGGGAACCGAGGGGTCAGCGGAACTGGTGGGAAAACCGTATAACAGCACCCTGGGCCATGGCCGATGTGCAAACGAGTCTACCCCCAGAGGGGGGTGATCCTGCGCTCTGCGAGCCCCTCTGTTCAATTTGCCGGGAATATACATTGCTCTGATGGAGAGCAACGTGTGTGCGTGCCCAGAACCGCAGCCGCCTGGCTGCGTTCAGAAGCTGCGCAGATCGTACTCCTCCCTGGCGATTGAGGTAGGCTGCCGTGGCCTGTTGTCTGTGTGAATCAACACATGTTTGATTGTACAGCAACGGGGCGAAGTGCTGGAATACTTTCCAAAACGGAGAGCAGCTCCAGCACATTTACCTCTGACGCACGGGGTCGATGCACAGGCGAATGAACCACCTCTGGAGTCTCCTCCTGTGGGGGAGACCCAGGGGGATCACCACGTGACCAGCTGACGTCATGCTGAGCAGCTGCATCACGGAGAGGGCTGTCACCACGCTGTGGGATGTGACACGCCGGAGTTTCTCCACTCTCTGCCGCGAGAGCCGCGCTCTCATGCTGGCTGAGTTTAATTCCACTCCCAGATAAATGATTGTCTGGGAGGGAAGAGGACAGATCTTCTTCCAATTTATGAAAACCCAGGCTTGACAGATGTGATACGAGATGTACCGTCTGTAAAGCG